ACGTTCCTGCAAAGCTGAAAAGAGAAACCTCGAACCACTATCACTCGAGTGAAAAGGACCAACGGGCAGTGTCAGACCATGTCTTCAATCAATCAATCAATCAAATTTTATTTATAAAGCGCTTTTCATACATAAGATGCAACACAAAGTGCTTTACAGATTGGTTAAAAACAATCCCGCCGACCCAAGACCCCTCCCCCAGACCACCCAACAGACCCCCCCCAAACCACAGACAAACACACACACACGCGCTCATGAACACTCATACACACACACACACACACACACACCAGTAAAACAATAAAAACATGATGAGAGACTTGGCAGGGTTCAGATGCAACCAGCTGAAAAAGCGTCATCCAAGGAGCCGTCTGCACCAGGAGCAGAGAGCCGCCCGTAGCCACAGGGGACGACACAGGACCCAGAGGAGACATGAAACCGAGGCCCCAGGCCCCCACCAGGCCCAAGAGTCCGACCCCCGCAGCCACACCGACCACTGCTCCCGGTGCAGAGGGCTCCTCCAGAGGAAACACTGGGTACACTAAAAACAATACAATAAGTAAAACACTAAAATGTGAGACTAAAAGGAACACACAATACATGAATAATAGCAATAGCAATATAATAAATAATAAATAATAAAAGATAAATAGAATGGAATAATAAAAACTAATCAAAAGCTACTCTAAAAAGGTGCGTCTTGAGCCTACTTTTAAAAATATGAACGTTCTCTGCGGCCCTGAGCTCCTCCGGCAGACTGTTCCAGAGACGGGGGCCGTAGTGCTGGAAAGATGCCTCGCCGTGAGTGTGTGTCCTGACTTTGGGGATGGTTAGGAGTCTGCTGCCGGAGGAGCAAGGGGCCGGGAAGGTTCATAGGATAAAAGCAAATCTGAAAGATAAGAAGGCCCAAGACCATTAAGACATTTAAAAACCATTAAAAGAACCTTAAAATCGATTCTGAAACACACGGGGAGCCAATGCAGCGATTTTAAAACCGGTGTAATGTGGTCCCGCCCCCTGGTCTTAGTCAGGACACGTGCGGCCGAGTTTTGGAGTAATTGAAGACTTGCAATGTTCTTTTTGGGAAGACCAGAGATCAGGGCATTACAATAGTCCAGCCATTCCCAAACTCAGTAACACCGAGGCCCCCTTAAAAATCTGACGGGTCTGCGTGGCCCCCCAAAATAATAACCAAGAAGACAACATTAAGAATAGGCTCTTCTGGTTATTTTATTTTGGGGAAATAGCCTCTGCTACAAACATTGTAATACAAAAATGATTACAGTGGGTTAGTGGGCTAACCCTATTCAAGTCAAATAATGAACACAAATATTTTAATATTACAAACAAAACATTATAAATTTAACATTAAATAATTATATTATTTTTTTAATTTTTTTTATGACCTCCCGCGGCCCCCCTGCAGTACCCTCGCGGCCCACCAGGGGGCCGCGGACCCCACTTTGGGAGACACTGCAATAGTCAATGCGACTGGTGATAAAAGCATGCAACAGCGTCTCCGTGTTGCCCCGAGAGAGAATGGGGCGGACTCTGGCGATGTTCTTTAGATGATAAAAACCTATTTTTGTGATACTCTTGATGTGAGGAATAAAAGTCAGCTCAGAGTCAAAGATTACGCCCAGATTTTTCACTTGTGATGATGGATTAAAAGAGTGTGATTGGAGTTTTGATAAAAGTTTCTCTCTCTGGGCCTCAGGACCGATGACTAAAACCTCAGTTTTGTCCTGGTTAAGCTGGAGAAAGTTTTCTGCCATCCAGGATTTCAGGTCTAAAATGCAGTTAAAAAGAGCATCCATTGGCCTGGTGTCATCAGGAGACATGGAGATGTACAGCTGTGTATCATCTGCATAACTGTGGAAGTTAATTCCATGTCTCCTGACGACACCGCCAAGAGGGAGCATGTACAGGTTAAAAAGGACTGGACCTAAAATGGAACCCTGGGGCACACCACATGTGATTTTATGGACCTGAGAGGAGCAGGTATCCAAACTTACCATGAAGGATCTGTCTGTTAAATAAGAAGTGAACCATTTGTGGACAGCACCAGAGAGGCCGAGGTGTTGTAGGCGTGATAAAAGAATTGTGTGGTCTACTGTATCAAAGGCAGCGCTAAGATCCAGTAGAACCAACACAGTCACCTTTTTGAAATCATAACTTAGTCTAAGATCGTTTAAAATCTTTAAAAGAGCAGTCTCTGTGCTGTGGTTCACCCTAAAACCTGATTGAAATTTCTCTAAAATTTTCTGCTGATCTAAAAAGGCATTGAGCTGGGTAAAAACAAGTTTTTCTAAAATTTTGCTTAAAAATGGTAAGTTGGATACCGGTCTGTAGTTGTTAAAATCATTAAAATCTAAATTGCTCTTCTTCAGAAGGGGTCTCACCACAGCCGCTTTGAAGGCTGCAGGAAAGACCCCAGTCTGAAGAGAGCAATTCATCAGGTTTAAAAGCTCCTCTCTAAAAGATTCATAAAATGACTTAAAAAATGGAGTGGGGACTGGATCTAAAAGACATGTGGTGGGCCTCACTGAGGAGAAAACTTTATCAAGCATCTCAGCATCAACCAGGACAAAACTGTCCAGTGTTTCCTCTGGCGAAGACAAACAATCAGATGTGTTAAAAACAGTAGTGCGGTTGGATAAAATGTTACATCTGATTGTATTTATCTTCCCCGTGAAGTGGACTGCAAAATCCTCACAGAGGGAGTCTGTGGGGGTTAAAAGAGACTTGCTAAAATCAGGGTTTAAAATGGTGTCGATGGTTGAAAAAAGGATTTTTGGATTATTTTTGTTCTGGCTGATTAGATTTGCAAAGTATTTGTTCTTATGATTTCTAATTGTGTAATTGTATGCTTTTTGATTGTTTTTATATATTTCGTAGTTGATTGTTGTTTTATTTTTCCTCCATCTTCGTTCTGCCACCCTGCACTCTTGTTTCATTTTGCGTACTTCTTCATTTCTCCATGGGGGTGCAGATTTTGTTTTTATGATTTTTGTTTTTAAAGGAGCCACCTGATCCAACGCAGAACTAAGTCTACTGTTAAAATCATTTGCTATAAAATCACAGGGGGCAGGTAAAACCAAGTGGGGAGTGTTGTTTAGGATGTCGATGAAATTTGCAGCCACTTCAGGGGTTAGATGTCGCTTCCTCACGGTTCTCACAGAGGTCTCACGCTGTATAAAACCAGTGATGTTAAAAAGCACACAGTAGTGGTCCGAGACAGCCAAGTCGACAACAGAGGACACATCCGCAGTCAGGCCATAGGTAATGACCAGGTCGAGGGTGCGTCCCCTGTTGTGTGTTGGCTGTCTGACGTGTTGGGTAAAATCCATGTAATTAAGAACATCTAAGAAATCTAGGGTAAAATTGTCAGAGGGATTGTCAATGTGTATGTTAAAATCACCGGTTAAAATTATCATATTGTAAGAATTGTGTAACTGTGATAAAAACGCTGAGAATTCAATAATAAAAAGGCTGCACTTTTTAGGTGGCCTATAAATAATTACTGTTAAAATTTTGGGGTTGCTAAAAACAAGAGAGTGATACTCAAAACTTGAGTATTGGTTAAAAACAATAGGTTTGGTGGCCAGGGTGTTACTGCATATTGAGGCTGTGCCGCCACCTCTCTTTCCTTCTCTTGTTTTAAAAGCAAAGTTAAAATTGGGGGGGGAGGCCTCTGTAAGAACAGCCGGAGCATCCGGACCCAGCCAGGTCTCAGTTAAAAACATACCATCCAGCTCGTGTTCTAAAATCAAATCATTAACAGTAAAAGTCTTATTTAAAAGGGAGCGTACATTTAAAAGGGCAAACCTGATGGTAGATGGGTTGTTATTGTTGATGGGGAGTCCATAGTTCGAAGTGGGGGGAGCAGAGGATGAGAGAGGGCAGGGGGAAACAGTGATGAGGTTGGTGAAGGACGGTTTCCTGGGTATGGACGGTCTGTAGGGGCGGGGTCTGGACAAAACTGTAAATTTGTGCTGGGGAAGAGAGCAGGGGTTGATGCTGGGGCACAGACGGGCAGGAGGGATGTGGGATGTGGGGGTGGGTTGTCAGAGGTATGTAGGATGGGATTGGACTGCGTGGGTGATGTTGGAGATCAGGTACCGGTTGCCAAGTGGGTTGATGTGAAGTCCGTCGGGTGTGAAGAAGGGGTAGCGGTTCCAGAACAGATTAAAATTGTCTATAAAACCAAAGTTGTGATGGAGTGATGTTTGATTGAGCCAGGTGTTGAGTGATAAAATCCTGCTAAAACGCTCCCTGCCGCGGTTCATAGTGGGCAGAGGACCGGAGATAAAAAAAGTTTTCCCTGAGTTTGATAAAAGGTTAAAAAGATCCTTAAAATGGCGTTTTGTGGTCTCGGATTGGCGGAGTGAAGCGTCATTTGTGCCGACATGAATTATGATCCGGGTTATTGTGGAGGGTGCTGTCTGAATAAGTGCGGGTAGTTTAATGAGGATGGTGGGGACTGTGGCTCCAGAAAAACAGTGTGTGATGGCATTAAAAAACTTGCAGTGTCTGATAATACACTTCAGTCAGACCACCTCTTCAGTCAGACCACGTCTTCAGTCAGAGTCAGACCACGTCTTCAGTCAGAGTCAGACCACGTCTTCAGTCAGAGTCAGACCACGTCTTCAGTCAGAGTCAGACCACGTCTTCAGTCAGAGTCAGACCACGTCTTCAGTCAGAGTCAGACCACGTCTTCAGTCAGATCACTGACCTGATCCTTCGATGCCGGCTCTTCCCGTCCTTGTGAAGCAGAACTCTCCAAGCGTTGGATTGTTCACCCACCAATAGGGAACGCGTGTCCATGGTCGACACTGGTCCCACGATGAATGGATGAGAGCACACGAATGCGTCGAAGCGTGGCGTGGAGAATGCGGCAGGAGGCGGACACCGACGTGGCGTCAAACAGCGACCACCGGCGTGGAAGCGTGCACCGACCGACGTACGGCGATGAAGCGTGCGGCCGCCGACGTGCTGCAATGAAGCGTGCGGCCACCGACGTGGCGTCGTCGAAGCGTGCGGCCACCGACGTGGCGTCGTCGAAGCGTGCGGCCACCAACGTGGCGTCGAAGCGTGCGGCCACCAACGTGGCGTCGTCGAAGCGTGCGGCCACCGACGTGGCGTTGTTGAAGCGTGCAGCCACCGACGTGGCGTCGTCGAAGCGTGCGGCCACCGACGTGGCGTCGTTGAAGTGTGGGGGCGTTGAAGTGTGGCGTTGAAGTGTGGCGTTGAAGTGTGCCGTTGAAGTGTGCCGTTGAAGTGTGCCGTTGAAGTGTGGCGTAAGGCCAAAGCAATGGGCAATACAAACAGCACAGAGGGGCTCGGCCGCGCTCCGACCAATCAGAGCAGCTCATCAAACACGGACAGCCCGGAAGCAATGCAGTGGGCAAAACTTACAGTCCACGGTTGTGACGGCCCCCTCTGCTGGGCCTGTGGTGGCAGTGTTCATATGACGTTCAGAGATGATGGGAGGCAGCTGGGAAGTCATGTGACCTCCCGGATGCTTCAAAAAGCGGCTTCCCCTCACTCTCTCTCTCTCACCTGGCTTCTGGGCACCGGCCGGCGTGCCCGGACTGCCGCTACCATTCTGGGCCCTGTTGGACCAGCCGCCACGCCAGTTTGTCTTTTCATTTACACGCGCTACAACACAATATATGCACTACAACGGTTGTCCTACTGACTTTCAGATACAACACCTTGCACCCCACAGCATACCATTCACTTACACTGATTTCATACAGATTACTTTATTATTGTTTAAATAAATGCCCCACAGAGGGTTTAAACTTCTCAGTTTGTCGTGTCCTCCCTCTCATGTTATGGTCTCACGAGCCGGGCCGTAACAAATGGGGGCTTTCGTCCTAAACATATTTGGAAAGTCATTCAGTGGTGTTTTGGAATCTCCCCTAGACGTGGTAGTGTGTGTGGATTCAGAGTTTGTACGCGCGCGCTGTGCGTGAGTGGATCCATTGACCTACTTTCTGTGAATCTGTGAATGGACGTGACGTCACCGCTGCTGAGGAGGCGAGTGTACGTGCAGTAAAGTTGTGGTGAGGACACGGCTTCGCGTGGAAGTTATTGGTTCATTCAAGACTACAGGTGAGTGAAGTGTTTTCTGTCTTGTGTCGCACGCAAATGGCTTCTGTCTACAGCTGGGTCTCCTGTTAGGCGAAGTGGTGTTGCCGCTTCAGGCTTCACCTGTTTTGTTTTTGTTTTAATAGTGTCGTGGGAACGCGGTTGGTGTTCAATGCGCGAGCATTGATCTCGGGGGCACTCCGTGGAACTGTTTGCTCCACTGGTTTCGTGCTTAATATTCCCGCTGCTGAACCACGTGAAGAGCTAGGCACAGTTAGGCAGGTGAGTTTTGGGATAGGTAGGCAAAGTATAGAGGGGATTCTGGTTGTGTGAGCCTGTTGCTGCGCACTGGTTGTGACACTTCCACTCGCAGTGTAGTAGTCTGGTTTGTTTGTTTGTTTATGGCTAACGCGTGTGTGTAGTTTGGTATGAGTATGGAGTCTGTGGTAGAGGATTTTGTGGCTGATCCCACTGTGGGGAGGCTTGATGAGTGTAGTAAGTCTGATTTGTTGGCGATCGCGGCGCACTATGAAATTTCCGTGTCAAAGCAGGAGGTGAAAGTGCTTAAAACGCAGGTTCAGTCAGCGTTGGTGGCGCAGGGCATTTTCTCTCCAGTGGTTGTGTCTGATGCGGAGATGCGGAGAATGGAGATGCAGCTGGAAATGCGAAAGTTAGAACTTCAAGGAAAAGAAATACAGGACAGAGAGCGGGAAAGAGAGCTTAGGTTTCGGGAAAGAGAGAGCCAACAGCAACATGAGTTTGAGCTGCGTAAATTGGAGCTGGAGGCGAGTTTCAGACAGGCGTCTACTCGTTTGTCTATCAGCCAGAGCAGTAGTTCCCAAGCAGAATTTGACGTGAACAAATGCATCAGATTAATTCCACCATTCACGGGGAAGGATGTGGATAAGTATTTTGTTTTGTTCGAGCGTGTGGCGAGTACTTTGAGCTGGCCCGAGAGTGTCTGGCCGCTGCTGCTGCAGTGTGTGTTCACGGGGAGGGCGCAAGAAGCGTATGCCTCGCTGTCACCGGAGGATAGTTTGCAGTATAGCAAGGTAAAAGTGGCAGTCGAAAGGGCGTATGAGCTGGTACCGGAGGCGTACAGGCAAAAGTTTCGCCGCTACAAAAAGTTAGACACTCAAACCTACGTAGACTTTGGGCGTGAGAAGATCTCATTGTTTGAGAGGTGGTGCGCTGCACAAAACGTTAGTACGGTGGACCAGTTAAAGGATTTGATTTTGATGGAAGAGTTCAGAAACTGTGTTCCGGAGAAAATTGCTGTTTATCTCAACGAACAGAGGGTTGGGAAAGTAACAGAGGCCGCAGTGTTAGCGGACGAGTATGTGCTGACCCATAGAGACTATGCGCAGACTGTGGGCTCGAGGAACGTTAAGGTATGGCGTGAGGAGGGCTCTGCTAGACCAGATGTGTCAAAGGTTAGTGCTAAAGGCTCGACCACAGGTGATTGGGACCGTGTTTGTCACTTCTGTCAGAAGCGTGGACACATTAAGGCGAATTGTTATGCGCTGAAGAATAAGTCTGGGGGGTCCCACTCTGGGGGGTCCCACTCTGATCCTAAGGGCGCGGGGTTAGCGGTACCGGTGCGTAATGGGTGTAAAGAGCGTAATGAGCATGAGGTGGAGCGTGTTGAGTCTGAAGCTTGTATTTCGTACCTTCCGTTCATCCGTGAGGGCTATGTGTCGTTGCTGGGCAGTGACAAGAAAGTGCGGGTAAAGATATTGAGAGATACGGGGGCTTTTGATTCTTTTATTCGTGCCGATGTTTTGCCATTGTCCAGTGAGTCTGAGACTGGGGCATGTGTGCCAGTTCGGGGCATGGGATTGAACATCCTGTTTGTTCCATTGCACAAAGTGTCTCTGGAATGTGAGCTCTTTTCTGGAGAAGTGGCGTTGGCTGTACGACCTGCATTGCCGATAGCGGGGGTTTCTGTCATTTTGGGTAACAGTTTGGCGGGGTCTCGGTTGTGGGACGCTGCTCCGTCACTTGTGCCCATGGAGGCGGATTCCGGGCCACTGGTTGTTCCCCACACCGATGGAGATAGTGCGGAGTTTCCGGAGGTGTTCACAGCGTGTGCCGTGACTCGGGCCATGGCGCGGGCGCAGTCTGGGGAAGAGGGAGGTGTGAAAAACATTATCTTTCCCTTGTCTGATTTTCCTGTGGCTTTGACTCATAGGGAGCTGGGGCTGGAGCAGCAGGCTGATGTGTCCCTAAAGAGCCTGTTCGAGCAGGTGCGCCCTACAGGTGAAGCGGTGGACAGTGCGTGTGGGTACTTCCTTCAGGAGTCACTGTTGGTGAGGAAATGGTGGTCACACGTTGGCCCAGCCAGTGATCCTGTTTTTCAAATTGTTGTGCCCAGTAAATTTCGCTCTGCTGTGTTAAAGGTGGCCCATGACGAGTCTGGACACTCTGGCGTGACTAAGACTTACGACCGGGTCCTGAGACATTTTTTTTGGCCTCGTCTTAAGAAGGACGTTTCAGCATATATTAAGACATGTCATGTGTGTCAGCTTACAGCCAAGCCCAACCAGGTGTTGAAGCCATTCCCATTAAGTCCAATTGGGGTGACATCTCAGCCATTTGAGCACTTGGTTATAGATTGTGTGGGCCCATTACCACGCTCTAGGGCTGGTTCGTGTTATTTGTTGACTGTAATGTGTCAGCTGACGCGGTATCCTGCTGCCTATCCGCTGAAAACAATCACTGCCAGGGCAGTGGTGCGTGCCCTAACACAGTTTATTTCTGTGTTTGGCATTCCCAAAGTTATCCAATCCGACCAGGGCACTAACTTCTCGTCTCATCTTTTTGCCCAGGTTTTAAAGCAGCTTCGGGTGCGACATAGGATGTCTACAGCATACCATCCTGAAAGCCAGGGGGCTTTAGAGCGGTTCCATCAGTCTCTAAAGTCTCTACTGCGTGCCTATTGTACAGAGCTGGGAGGAGACTGGGAGGAAGGATTGCCGTGGTTGATGTTGGGGGCCCGTGAGGTTACCCAGGAGAGCACTGGGTTTAGCCCTAATGAACTTGTGTTTGCGCATACAGTTAAAGGTCCCCTTGCAGCAGTGGCAGGCGATTTCAGGGAGCCTGAACCGCCAAAGAAACTTGTGGACTATGTGAATGGGTTTAGGAGGCGCTTGTATGCAGCGAGAGCATTGGTGCAGGAGAAAATGGCTGCTACACAGGGGAAAATGAAAGCACTGTTTGACCGGCACTCAGAGGTGCGTTCATTTTTGACGGGGGATCAGGTGTTAGCCCTGTGTCCAATGTTAACCTCTCCTTTTCAAGCAAAGTTCACAGGTCCTTATACGGTACTGGAGCGAAAGTCTGACCAGAACTACGTAATCTCCATGCCTGAGCGCAGGAAGAAGACTCAACTGTGCCACGTGAACCTGTTGAAGCCATACTATACCCGTGAGGCTGATGTGGAGCAGCTGGGGGGTGGCGAGGCTAAGGCAGCGTGCGCAGTTGATAGGTTTGTTGGGGTGACTGAGTTCAGCACCACGGACAGCTCCCTGTCACCTGGTGTGAGAGATGACGGGGACGCTGGTACTCTGGTCAGCGCTCTTGTTCAGGGGCGTCTTAAAAACTCGGAAACTTTGAGGAACTTGGACTCTCTGTTTGCTCATCTGTCGAGGGACCGGGCAAAACAGTTAGTGCAGTTGGTGCATCAGTTTCCTGCTTTGTTTTCGGACACACCGGGTCGCACACATCTACTCGAGCACGATGTAGATGTGGGTGACTCCAAGCCTATAAAGCAGCGTTTTTATAGGGTTAATTTTGAGAAGCGTCAATACTTGGATGCAGAAGTAAAGTACATGGTTGAAAATGGGATTGCAGAACATAGTTGTTCAAGCTGGGCGTCCCCATGTATTCTTGTGCCCAAATCTGACAACTCTATGCGATTTTGTTCCGATTTTCGCAAGTTGAACGCGGTTACTAAACCAGACTGTTTCCCATTGCCGAGAATGGACGACTGCGTGGGATCAAGTTGGTTCCGCTCGGTTTGTCAGCAAATTCGACCTTTTAAAGGGATACTGGCAGGTGCCGTTAACTCGACGAGCCCGTGAAGTCTCCGCGTTCATTACACCAACAGGCTTGTACTCCTATACAGTCATGCCATTTGGTCTACGAAATGCACCCGCAACATTTCAACGACTCATGAACAGCGTCATAGGAGATATGCCGGGTTGTGCGGTGTATTTAGACGACGTTGTTGTGTATTCGGACTCGTGGGAGGAGCATTTGGCACGCATTGAGGAGCTTTTCACTCGTTTGGTAGGGGCGAGGCTAACAGTAAACCTTGCAAAGTGTGAGTTTGCGAAGGCTACTGTTACTTATCTGGGACGTGTCGTGGGTCAGGGCCAGGTCCGACCCGTTGCAGCTAAAGTTGAAGCCGTTGAGCAGTTCCCTGTTCCGGTCACAAAAAAGGAGCTAATGCGATTTTTGGGACTCGTTGGGTACTACAGGTGTTTTTGTAAAGATTTTTCATCGGTTGTCTCACCATTGACAAACTTGCTGCGTAAAGATATTACATTTGTGTGGTCTCCAGTCTGTCAGCAGGCATTCGAGCAGGTGAAAAGACTCCTCTGTGCTGCTCCCGTGCTGGCCGCGCCTTGTCTGACCCAACCATTTCATCTCTACGTGGACGCAAGCCACGTGGGCGCTGGGGCTGTCCTTACGCAAGTAGATAACCTTGGTATCGACCGGCCGGTCAGTTATTTCTCTAGGAAGTTCAACAAACATCAGCTGAATTATTCAGTGATTGAGAAGGACACCTATGCGTTAATTCTAGCGTTGCAACACTTTGACGTCTACTTGAATGGCAGCGTTGAGACAGTGGTCCACACCAACCATAATCCGCTCACGTTTTTGTCAACTTTTAAGTGTCCAAACCAGCGGTTAATCCGTTGGTCACTGTTTTTACAATCATATAACTTGGACATCCGCTACATTAAAGGATCCGATAACGTGGTAGCTGACGCTTTGTCGCGCGCTCCGTTGTGATAGTGTTGCCATTGTATGTTCCTCTCTTCTTTCTCGCTCTCCTTGTATCCAGGTTTCTGTGTGCACCAGTTGCTGGACGGAGGAGTGGACCGGGACGGAGGAGTTGGAGGACGCGCTGGTGGCCGTTCTTTCTTTTGGCGCCTCGTTGCAGGGTTCCTTTGGGGGAACCTGCATTTTAAGGGCGGGGGTGTGACGGCCCCCTCTGCTGGGCCTGTGGTGGCAGTGTTCATATGACGTTCAGAGATGATGGGAGGCAGCTGGGAAGTCATGTGACCTCCCGGATGCTTCAAAAAGCGGCTTCCCCTCACTCTCTCTCTCTCACCTGGCTTCTGGGCACCTGCCGGCGTGCCCGGACTGCCGCTACCATTCTGGGCCCTGTTGGACCAGCCGCCACGCCAGTTTGTCTTTTCATTTACACGCGCTACAACACAATATATGCACTACAACGGTTGTCCTACTGACTTTCAGATACAACACCTTGCACCCCACAGCATACCATTCACTTACACTGATTTCATACAGATTACTTTATTATTGTTTAAATAAATGCCCCACAGAGGGTTTAAACTTCTCAGTTTGTCGTGTCCTCCCTCTCATGTTATGGTCTCACGAGCCGGGCCGTAACAACGGTCAATTAGACAGAGCGAAGGCCAATGCAGACGACAAATGTTATAGTCCATGGTTACAACTGACAGCCTGAAGGTCAATGCAGTGGGTAAAATGTTCAGTCCATAGTAAAACGGACAGCCTGGAGGTCACTGCAGTGTGTAGAATGTTCAGCCCATGAGTAAAACGGACAGCCAGAAGACCAACACAGTGGTTAAAATGTGCGGTCCATGGTGAAAACGGACGGTCTAAATGCCAATGCAGATGGTAAAACGAACAGCCTGAAGAGCAATGCATCGGGTAAAAACACAGCCTGCGAGCCAATTCGGCGGGATTAACTGACACGCCGCAGTTCAGTACAGTTCATGGTAGTGCGGAAAACAACGAAACCGACACTGTACCGTGAGTGGAGGCAGGGAGAAGGGTGGACAGCGGCAGGCAGACAACGGCAGGCAGACAGAAGTCCCGTTCCCGGTATGGAAGCGGCAGGGTGCGGCCAGAGTAACGCCTGGCCGCGAGCAGCAGCGGCCACGGGGAGACGAGCGGCAGCGAGTCCGCAGGAGAGGACCCGCGGTGAGCCGCGGTGGAGACACAGCGACCATGGCGCGCAGCCCCCAATATGTGATGTGGAAGAGGAGCCGTGACCATGCAGGACGAACAATGTGCGAGGCGTGAGTAACAAGGTGACGAAGAACAACCCATTGCAGCTTGAAGTCCGTTTGGTGAGCTGTGCTCTGCTGTTCTCTTAAACGCTGGCTTGATTGACACGGCTGCGGGGAGTTGATTAAGACAGGCTGAGTAAGGCGTGGTCAAGCCTGGTGTGATAACGTAGGTAGTCTACCATCCTGAATCTCCGCTTCAGCTGCATCTTTAAATGTCCAGGTTATAGCGCTCTATGTGATCCTGGTAGGGGATATTTTTTACATTCCACTGATCGTCTATGTCTATGTGTATGTCTATGTAAATGTCTATGTGTATAAACACCAAATTTCACTTGGTTTTTAAAGCAATTTTAGCACAACAAACATGTAATGATACATATGGACTGACATTTTTAGAATGGGTTTAGCAGTACGTACATTAATACTTAGACTCACCAAACCACACAATATTCCAACCACCAGTGAAATATAATACTTTGTCTCTGACACAGGTACGTGCCTGAACTTCTCTGCATGCAGCACGTAAATCCTTTATGTTCTGAGTTGTAATCCAAGTTGAATGATGGGATGCTTGGTTCACGTAACCAAAATGATGAGTGTGTCATTTTTATAAACCTTTAAGGAGGCATAAGTCTCTCCCTGATCTCAGTAATTCAAAAAACATAACTTAAGTGAATGAGGATTGATGAGGATGGGTCTGCGTGAGTCTGCTGTCTGACCACAGATGGAAACCATGAGGACACAAACTTATCACTCCACCTTCTTCTTTTATTTTACAAATGTATTGCTTCCTCAAGGTATCTTAGGCCCCTAACTTGTCATGACAGAAGTATAGTTGATACAACAGTTGTTCAGCACTAGGATTATGTTTTCCTGACCATAGATACTGTACATGTTTAGAAGGTTCTGGGATCGGCTGGTCCAATCACTAATTACAAAGAAAATTGTAGTATAATTTGAATGGCCAAGAATAATACATCTTTTCTCGTATATAATGACATTCTAGGACCCTTCAATCACTACTACTGAAATAATCTCTTGAAAAGTCAACAACACATGAGTGAATTCCAATGAGCCGGAATTATTCAGGTAATATTTTTTTTTGTCTTTGGTCTGTGTTTTACCTTTCTTTTTTATATTACTTATTTTGGCTTTAGGCTGTTGACAACATGATGGCCCTACCTCAAATATGGCTGATGATGAATGGATCTTTGTTCCGGTTTTGATAGTGTTGTAAATTTGAATGTGTTTATTGAATGTGTTCTTGATTATTGCTTGGTAGACCTACGTCACAGTAAATAGGCTTTCCAAAACCTGTTTGTCATGTTTATTTAATCACTCCTGATGGGCTTTTGCAGACAGGTATTGGTCTCATTGAAAATCGGGTTAGCTCTTACACCGAATGTGGAGAAGGCCTGCGACTCTGGCCCCTGCTCCATTTCCCCCGGCTGCATTAGCCACTTCTAACAGAGTTACGGCACACATCTCATTTTTCATTGGATTAAAAGGCTCGTATAGATTTGCCCGTGACACAGTGCTGTATCAATTCCCCAGTGCAACTGTCCTACTGTTCAGGTGGCCCTGAATCTGATGTACTACTTTTTATGGCCTCACAAATGGTCTCTCTCTTCTATCTTGGACCCAACGGGTAACACAAACTGCTCATTAGCTTTATGTTGTTTTGGTTTGCCTAATCACATCAGTAAAGGACAATAACCGCATTATACTAACACAAGCCCATTAAAACTTTTAACAAGGCTGATAAAGAACGTTCTTTTCTCAGGAGAAAGTAAATAACAGCCAAACATGTTGAGAAGTGGAAAAAGTCTGGACAAATTAACCATACACTTTTCCATAGTTTTGCATGCTTTGATGCATAGTACTGTGCCAAAAATCACAAGATTGTAATTTTTCTCAATCTCAATTGCAAAGCACCAATCATGGAGTTGCACACTCTTTGGGAGAAAGAACCGAGCTAGAGCATGTTTGTACTGAAATATTCACTATTAGTACTTGTTGGATTAAGTGCACTTCTGTACAAACGGCAACAGCCTTTTGTATTCAAAATAAAGTTTTTCTGGTTCCCATACAGGCCGCACTTAAATATAGGCCGCAGGTTTTCATTTAACATTTAACAGACAGTAGATGGAGCCCAGGGGGCGCTCTAATGAAATCAAAATACAGACATTGGCCGCATTGCTAGCGGTTCATAGTCCAGCAAGCTTTTTTTGATTCTGCCTCAGATGGTATATTCTATTATTTTGTTTTTTTGCAATTGAAAATACTACTACTACTACTACTACGGGTTGTCAGAAGTATGAAAGAGTACAGTGCTTCAAATAGCATCAATTCTATACTCATTTCAGCAAGTATTTATTCTAAATAAAATAGAATAAAACTTTTCCTGAGCATGTCTTGTGGAAACATCTTTTTTAAAACTAAAAGCTAAATTGGCCAAAACAATTGCAGCATTAAAATTGTAATCGAGGCGACAGTGGCTAAATTGGTAGAACATTGGCCTGAGAAGAACATTGGCCTGAAGGTCGTGGGTTCGAGCCCACCACAAGACCTACTTCACGACTCCCACTGATGACTGCTGTCGTTGTGTCCTTGGGCAAGACACTTTGCCTGAAGCCCCCGCTGAATAATCAAGGCTCCTGTGGACTCACCATCTGCAGGAGGATCAGTGAGGGGCTGGTGCTCTGTGGACTGGGTGCAGCTCTGACTGCCACCCCCTTACCCAGATATGGATTAAGGGGAAGAAAATGGATGGATGGATGGAAATTGTAATCATGTATCGAGGGCGGCCCAAATAGAAAAATGAAAAAGTTTGATATGTTATAGTATTTTGGGGATACATTTGTGCAATAGCCATTTCCACTTGAGGAAAAGTGTATATAATAAGTGTATATTGAGTATTCGATTCTCTTTACAATTAATGGTGCTTATGGAGAAGAAAAAAACTTATTTTGATACTTCCTCTGACATTTGAAGGACATATATTCTTTAAACAATGCTGTTTTTTTAAATGCTAATTTTAACCTTTCCAGGGAATGTTGGTTACTGCACATTGGTTCGTGCATGTTTATATGACTGTGCCCCAGTAGTGCAATAGAATAATCTACTGGAACCGGCGAGCATTCACTATGCACTGGAATCAAATGTTCAAGCTCCAGTGTCTAACAGTGACGTGAGGGAGACAGAAGTGAGTCAGACTAACTTTGAGAAAGGACAAAACATGGAAGTACACCAATACTTTCTAAAAGGGATAAAGGAACATGACTCAGAGTTAAGCAGAAGAGGGAAGGATTATGATTAATTTGTAAGTTAGTCTACTTTTCCTTCATGTCCTCTCAACACCCCACATCAGACTACTTTGAAAAGTTCCAACTGCCATCTGTATTTCTTTTCCTCAGGGAAATGTGTGTGCAAAAATGTATAAAGAACTTGGCATCATTGGCTGTGTAGAGATGAAAAAATAATCACAAAATAAATTTGTGATTATTTGAATTTGAAAAATATTTTCCAATGAAATAAACTTGTTAGATTAAATTCCAGGTATGTGGCGCTTTGCATAAATACTGTAAGTAAGCAACGCAAGTAATCTTTATTTATATAGCGCCTTTCACAGACCAGAGTCATCACAAAGTTCTTTACAATTGTTGTGGGCATTTGTCACCATACAGGAGGCACATGCCAGGCCTATTGTACATGTACACATTTAAATATTGTACACAGGGAGAACATGTAAACTCCACTCAGAAAGGCCCCGTTCCGACTGGGATTCGAACCCAGGACCTTGGTCAATGAATAGCCTTTTTGCTACTGAAACAATATTACTGACTAGCTCCAGTAAAAGCTGTTCAATGCCAGATTAAAAAAAAAAAAAAAAAGTAATATACAATGACATCATGCTATTACAGGCCTGAGACAGGAGCTTTTAGACAGAAGGGGCGGAGTTACATG